GCAGCAAAGATTAGAAATCAAGAATGAGTGATACAGCGGAAAACATTAAAACCAATAAGACAGCTGGGATTAAAGAAGGCCAAAGAAGATGCACAAAATAAAGAGGTGTTATTTTTGGACGCCTCAGTTTTGACATATATGCATCGATGAGGGATCAATAAAGTTGATCTTCTCTTATCTGATGGTAGAAAGTGTTTGAGAAGTAAACCTGTATTTATTGATGGAATCAGAAACTTGAATGTAAAGAAAGCAAAGATTCAGGGGACAGAAGGTGATCTTTCAGGGAGACATCATCCAGAGCAAACCTGTTGAAAGAATATTTTCTTCAGAACAGAATCAGATTCTTGAATGACCCGTCCAGAGCTCTGACCTAAATCCCTAAATAGAGCACCTGTGGGATGTCATGGAAGAAAAAAGCTGTTGTCTCACTGACGCTGGAGTGTCTCATTACTTTTTGTGCTATCTTTTGTCGGGCCTTTTAACCTCGTTCTATTGTCAAAAATGCCATGTTACACATAGTCAGAATCTCCACAGCTAATTTCACAGACAGTCCCCATAAGGTTTGACGTTTGTAATTTCAGCCAGGTGTGGTGGACAAGCTGTAGAAGATGTGTGATGACTTTAATAGCTCTGACATAAAGCAGTAAATGTTATTCAAAAATAACTTATCATAGACGAGTAGAAGAAGCAACAACTTCCCATGTTTGAACTGATGTAGTTTGTGTTTTAGCCACATGCTAAAGTATGTCACCTTTTAAATGAACTCTCACGCATGTGTTTTACTTCCATAAGCTTTTACAGGTGGGTGTGCCAAACAGGCCCAAAAAAAAGTCCATAAAAAGTGGTGAAAGTAAATTCGAAATGCGACTTTTTCAGGCCACTGTACATGAAAGCCAACAAGCGGTGCTAATAAAAGGCAGCACACAATGTTAAGTGTTACTTGTTTTAAAAAATCTGCTTTTAACTCTCAGCTTTAACGAAGCGTGAACACACGGTCTGTAAGTTCCGTCTTTAATTCCCCCTGTTCTGACTCTGCGGTCCTAAGAAGTGCTGATTTGCCCCAGCCCTGGATACCCCTCACCCTAAAACGCACGTGCACACGACCCCACCCACGTCCACAAATACACACGAACCCCCGAGTCGAAGGAAATCGAGGAAATCACTCGGCTCAACATGTTCCATAAAAGAAGTGTACAGGATATCCTCGATGAGTGAACGCCCCGCACCTCTCCTCCCGCTGCCCTCCCACTATCTCACCTCATATTGTTCCTCAGATTATTATTTAGCAGTGATGAATGAGGGAGCCGTGAAAACGGGCCGGCGCGGGGAGTAAAGGAAGCCGAGTGGGAAGCCCCACCTTCAGCCCTCCTCGGGGGAGGATTTCTGACAGGTGATATTATTCAACATGATGGAAACGCGGGTCAGTCCCGGGGTGACATAACAAAGACAGACAAACTCCTCCTGTGAAAACTCATCCAGGAGATCGCTTACAAGTAGCTGCACTACGCTTGTGGTCAGCGAGAGGAAATCGGACAGTGTCAAAATATTAGCAAAGCGGCAAATGGAGCGCGAGGAACTTGCATTTCAAGCGTTTCTTCCCCTTAAACACGTGTGCGGAGACGCAGTTAAAGGAAATCAAGAGAGTCGCTCAGTCTCTGTCCACAATTATAGTATTATTGCCTCTTTAAATAATCTGGGAACGCTCATGTGATGATTGAGTTGTTTGCATATATCTGTGTCAGAATGCCGTTTGGACTCAGGAGGACAGTTTCCTGCAGAAACGTCCAAGTTTTAAAACCACGACGGCCTCGCTGCTGCTGCTGCTGCTGAACTGTCCACGCAGCTTTTAAGACAGTTTTAAAATCCTGTTATTAAAGAGAACATGGATAAAAGTTGTTTTTTTTCCCGTAGGGCTGTCAAATTAATGAAAACTTGCATATTTGAGTAATGACATAGATTGAATTCGGTTAAATCAAGGCCTTATGTGCTACGAATGCCTGCTCTAAGTGAACATTTATCTCCTCTGTGCTGATCGTTGTTCTTTCATTGGATTAGTAGTTTAACTCTCCTGTTTAACCGCACAGTATCCTGAGCAAGTTTACTCCACTAACATTCAGTTAAAGCGCATGTTATTCAAACTTTAAAAGGTGTTTTTTAGATAATGCAGTGAAACCACACATTGGCTCACCTACACACTCAAATAGAGATTCATGCAAAGTTCAATTAAAGTGTTGAGTTGAACTGTACAAGCAATAAGCCTAAAAACTGAGTACATAATAAATGCCTCCTGCCTAAATGTTGCACTAACATAGCAAACAAAATGACTTTAATTGCTGGTGCACTCAAGTATGTGATATTTTCCGCAAAAATTTTGATTTGATCTTAAAGCTTTACCTCATTTTTTGCATGTTGGATATCTAAATTAACTGTAAAGTGACACTTGGATAACTGTTGAGTTCATTAATACACAAATCATACTGTGAGGAAATCTAAACAGGAAGTCGATACGTGCTGTAAAGTGTGTGCGAAATCCCAAAGTACCAAAGAGATTAATTCAGCGTGAATTAATAAATCCGACGGCCTCTCTGGTGGAAATCACTTAGAAAACACTGTATTTCTAAATAGACTGCACACACTCACAGGTGAAAGGTGTAAAAGAGGCACAATTCTGGTGCAGCTCAGAGAGACGTGGAGCTGGACGGTGTCGGTCAAACACGTTTATCCGAAGGCCTCAGTGTTTACGTTGCTATTTGAGGAACACGCACCCGCGTCCGCAGTCACAGTCAAGTAACCGCATGAGCACATGTATACACACAGTGACATATTCAAATAACGTTACTCACAGTGTAAACACACACACACACACTTCTCCAGATTTTGGCTCTTTCTCCCGTTCTGTCGCTTTCAGCTTTGCCTCACAGCCGACCCGGAGTGTGTGTCCATGTTTAGATAAATACACACTGGCTCAGGGAGGCGTGTGTTCTACCAACCGTGTGTTTTAGCTTAACTGCTGCAGAGCCTTGTGGCATTTGGTTTACAGTGCAGCCCAATGCATAGGCTGCATGGCTACAGAGGACACACACACACACACACACACACACAAACACACACACACACACAGGCACGCACAGATGTGTATCCATAACTTCAGATGACATTATATTGACTTACCTTTATTTTCACCTAATGTTACCTTAAAACACCTGAAATACCTCGACCACACACTCTCACGCCTACAGAAAGTCCACTTTGTCACATGCACATATGCATTTAATGTGTCGTACTCTGCACACACAGTGAACTACAGCCGTCAGGATTCATATTGTACGACGTCCTAAGATGGACTCCGTGACAACGAGCGTCTCAGTACGCAGCACTCCGCTGTGCGTGCCGCTCTGTTCTTTGTCTTGAGACACCTTCGCAGCAGTCGTATGAAGTAATGAGACCGTGCCACAAATACACAGCGTCATTCTGTGTTGCCGTCGACCTCTCAGGTGTTAGGGTTAGGGGCCACCGCGTCGGCTTGGCATCTTATTAGAGCACCTCAGAATGGAGCTTTTCATTCAGATAAGATTCCTCGACTTTAAGCCTGTAAATGGGCCAGCTGCATTTTTTTAACCCTCCACTAAAAATGTAGGTGAAGTGTGTGATTTGGGATGTACAATCTTATGTGTAAGCCTTGTTGCTGCTGGTGCTTTAGGTTTTCTTGGAGTGTTGATTGGGAAAAGCGTCTATATCAGGGGTGTCGACATCCGGTCTTCGAGGGCCGCAATCTTGCATGTTTTAGATGTTTCCTTCTTCCAACACACCTGATTCAAATGATCAGGATCGTTATCAGGCTTCTGCAGAGCTTGATGATGAGCTGATCATTTGAATCAGGTGTGTTGGAAGAGGGACACATCTAAAACTTGCAGGATTGCGGCCCTCGAGGACCGGGGTTGGACACCCCTGATCTATATTCACTGTTATGACTTTTACTGTTAGTATGGAGATGATAAAACTAACCCATGATCCAGCATTATTCATCATAAATCTCATCTGCAGTCACGTCTGGCTCCAGACAAGAAGCCGCGAGAAGCAACTCACTCCTGACTAATCAGCATCTCCGGCGATAGCATCACTGTTATATTGTTCCTGCGGTAGATTGTTGGATAAGAAATCCACAGCAGCACATCCCACAGGGAGGCGGTGGGAATGGTTAAGTTAACTTTGATATTTCATCACTTTAGATAAATTTATCAACACCTTTTCAACACTGCTTCTCCGTCACTGTCACTAAATTGGCCGCAGCAGCTTCAAGGACGACTCGTGTAACCGAACCCGTCACATCAAAAAGCTGGCTTTTCATCAGCGTCCCCGCCAGAAGAAGTGCAGCGGGACCAGATTACCTGGTCGAATGTGTCCACCGAGCTCAAATTCCCATGTTGCTCCTGATAACACAGTCGCAGAGGGCGGGTTGGAGCACGAATCACTTGCCGATTGCCCCGGAGGCACCATTGTATATCCCTAATGTCAACTCTCTCCAGGAAGTTTCTCAGGTTCAGGGAAAAGCAGCTACTACAAAAAAGTGACTTTAATTAACCGGCTTGTGGAGGTTGTTTACTCAAAACTGAGACCTCAAAGTCTCACTTTTAACTGCAGTCCTTCTGCGGCGGTGACACAGTGAAACTGCTCTTTATGCAGGCCATTTGCAGAGTTGTAACGTAGGATTTGGTCTGATTGCAGTTTAACTCGGGTGAAGTGGCCGTGTGACACATTGTCCACTTTCACTGCTCACAGGGCGAATGAGGAAATCAGACCACTTTGGATGAGAAGGGTTTGACTGTTGTCTACATGAATGCTGCTGCTGCATGGAGGGAGTGTGTGTGAGTGTGTGTGTGTGTGTGTGTGTGAGTGTGTGTGTGTGGGGGGCAGGGGAAACTCACAGGACATTAGGGAGGGGGGTGTGTGTTTCTAACTACAGGGAGGAGGAGGAGGAGAAGGGAGGAGGCTCGCCGTTTCCCCTCTCTGAAGTCTGAATGCAGCAATATAGAGGAGTTAGTGGGAAGTTCAGGGAAAATAAGTCGCTCCTTTAAGGGAAAGTTGTGGGCTCGACCTTGTTTCTCATTTAATCTATTTTGGAGTGTGTTCAGGATTAACGGGGGGAGCCACTTCAAAGCTGAGAAAGAAGGAAGTTTGTGAAATTTTGTGCCCTGTGAAAAATGTCCGAATCTGGAATCAACCCGCACTTGGAGGGAATTATTTCTGATTTTGAAGGTTTGTGATTCATTTCTGTGCCTTTCATTCACTTACTGATGCTTTATAGTAAACATCTGTCAGACATATTCAGCCTGTGAGTGGTATTAATGGTATTAACCCACATCTTTCCACTTGAATGTGCTGTCTGTGCAGATCTGTGTTGTATCTTGGATTTGTTTTTTATGGCTGCTGCGGTACATGTGTGTGTGTGTCTGCTTGTTACGCTGTTAAAAAACAGGGCGGTGGGCATATTCTAGCCAATTCCCTGTAGCCTATGGTCTGTTATTGATTATACCCAAGTTACGTCAATAGTAGAAACAAACACAGCGCTGACACCAACGCTGTTCCAGCACCGGAAAGCCTTCAGCTGAAAACACTGAGAGGGAGACAGTGGAAAGTCCAGCACTAAGAGCTAACATCTGTCTAACCCCTCGTACAAAAACTCACAACTACATGTCCTTTGTTTGTGAAGCCACAGTGTTGGAGCTGGCATCAGTAACCTTTGTCCTGCTCTTCCTCTGCCATTCTATCTTTCTTCCTTCCCCGCTTCTTTCCTTCCTGTTCCTCCTCCAGAACAGTCCCCGCAGCTGCTATTTTGGCCTGATGCTCACCGTCAGATGCCACGAACTGATGCTGAGAGCAGAAGCCGCAAAGAGTTTTTACGTCCTCAGCAGTATCCAGATTATTGGAAGCCGTCTGCTCTAGTGGTGTCGGACTTAACTCTGAACCTGTGTCTGACACGAACCGCTGGGAAGTGGCTTCAGCAGGGTTATGCCTACTTTTTAAAGTTTAGTTTCGTTATCTGAGCACGATACTTACATCAGAAGTTGTCAGTTTCAGTAGATGAAGTATTGAGTTTATCCAACTCATTTTAATGTGAGTATTTGGACAGCGGGCTGCAAGGTGGCGCAGTTGGTAGCACTGTTGCCTCGCAGCAAGAAGGTCGCCGGTTCGCGTCCCGGTGGGGGCACCTGAATCTTTCTGCTTGGAGTTTGCATGTTCTCCCCGTGCAGTGTGGGTTCTCTCCGGGTTCTCCGGCTTCCTCCCACACAGTCCAAAAACATGTTGAGGTTAATTGGTGATTCTAAATTGTCCGTAGGTGTGAATGTGAGTGTGCTTGGTTGTCTGTCTCTAAGTGTAGCCCTGTGATAGACTGGTGACCTGTCCAGGGTGTCTCCTGCCTTCGCCCTAAGTCGGCTGGGATAGACTCCAGCCCCCCCGCGACCCTAGTGAGGATTAAGCGGTGTATAGAAAATGGATGGATGGATGTGGACAGCAGTAGAAAAATCAAATCTGCTGAATAGGAGGCAGCTCAGAACACTTCTGTGCTTCTCTGTGGGATTAGAGAAGGTAAAGACATACATTTGCTAAACCAAGCAGCTCGTCTCCACACTCTCCGAGCTGTATTTGTTGTAAAAACAAAGCATTAGAGTTGGGAAAACATGGATAAAGCATAAATCTCACGGACAACACGGAGCACATTTTCTACTTTAACACAGTTTCTGGGTGTTGGTGTGAAAGTCCTGCTCCTCTATAGAAGCAGCACAATCATGGCTAGAAGCAGAGAGGACTCAAACATGTGTTCTGGGCAGTGTGGCGCACTAATAAGGCTATTAATCAGTAAAAAAAATGAAAAAACCTGTAATCAATAAGCACAGCATTCTTCCAAGTGCCCACAGGTGTTACCAGTAATGAAAAGAAAATGTTGGCTCCACATGCTGGGGATATTTTAGCACTTACGTTTTTGATTTGTTCCCATATTTGTCTCCTGTCTGCTCTGTGTAAACACAGCCTGCAGTTCAGCAGAAAACTCCCTGAATTTTTGTGACCGTCACAGCTGAGTCAGTCATGGCTTCACAGTTACAGTAGTGCAGATTATTACTATTTTAACAGAATCGGGTGAGAGCAAAGGATTTATTTTTGGTGAATTTTCAAATGAGCCTCTTAGAATAAAGAGATTTTGATAAAATATCACAGATTTAAGCTTTTTTTTTCTTTTCTTTGAACTGTACATCACAGACGAGTAGTTCAAGGACCGCTGTGAGTTGAAAATCTGATGATTCTTTCTGTTCCTCTAGCGCCAATAAATAGTAATTTTGGTAATTTATGCTTCTTTTTTTTTCTGAGAAAAGATAACATGCCTTTCAAAGTAGCTGACTGGTTTTTGGGTTCACAGAGTTCAGATTGTTATATTAGATCATAGACTCTATTAGATTCAACCTCAGTCACTGATGGTCTGACATTCTTATACGCACAGTATTTTGGTTGCAATAATTGGGTTTAATGAAGATGACCTGAAAACATCAAACTGAAGTTAGAGTAAAGCCAATGCCAGGTCATTACAGGGTGACCATTTAGAAAGCGTTCAGATATCACAGAGAAGCTGGTTTCAAGGCTCCACATAGAGAAAGCCCTCTCTGTATCAGGCAGTTCAGCCAAATCTTATTGAGAATATCCTTTAGTGGATTATACTCGTCCATAGTAGAAATAACTGTACAGAAAGGTGCGCTTGATTGGGGGGAAAAAATCCTCAATTTATCCCAGATCATTATGTTTTCCAGTACATTACGCTGCGCCGTATCTCACGATGAGGACAAAATGGGCCCAGAAAGCAAAAAGGCAATTTAATTGGTGAGCACAGTAAAGATGTAATAGTACCTCTTTGGATGGACTCGTGCGTGCGACTATTATGGAAAATGGGTGATAGAGGCTGCCATAGAAACTGCACGCTGCGAAAATATTGTGACTTTCTAAGAGGTAGAAAATGTCTCCGCTGAACCTAAACTTATGAGTCACCGCAGAATAAGCCCAGATTAAGCCTTTATTTGTATATTCGCGGAGGCTTTGGACTCTCTCTGCTTGGGCCGAGCCAAGTCGCTCGGACTGATCGTCTCCTCAGAGGTGCCACGTCGTCGCTCCTTCGTGACATTTAGAGGGTGCATGTGTGTGTGGTACATTTTTTTTGTGTTATTGAGTTAGTCTCAGCGGATTATGTGCGTAAATAAAACACATTCTTGACAGTTGTCTGTTGGCTCTCAGGCGAATACACTGAAGCTCAGGTGACATGTGACTCCCTGCTAATAAGCCTTGTTAAGCCAGTTAAATAAAAACTTTAGCATATGTATTTCTTGACTGAACCTTTTGTTGCTCCATCGTCACAAACACACACACACAGGAATGTACTGTAAGCACCCAGATAAACTCACAGCTCATCACGTTCCTTATCTGGTAATTTACTGGCAAATCCAGCGTACGGCCTTCTTGATTTTTTTTTTTTTTTGCTGAGAAGTTGTATGATTCACACTGGGAAAAGTGCTTAGTCTGAGTATCAGTACTTCTGCTTTGAGGTCACCGAGTTCCAATTAATCCTACGTTTTAATGTTTTCTGCTTCGGTCCGTGCTGCCACCCGCTTAATCTTCCCCCGCAGCCCATTTCTGCGACGCCGTGTGTTAACAGGTGCTAGGTGGAATGCAGCCACTCTCTTTATACCGTCACCGGTCACTGATGTAAATCAATCTGTTCATGCAGAAGATAGTTAACCAGTGGCAGATCAAAGACACGGAACGAAGCTCTACCTGTCAGGGGTTTGAGGCGTATAGAGCCTGAAGCCAAGAAGCAGGGCGGCTATTCAGCAGCTGCCTCAATGGCTTTGTGAGTGACTGAGTGTGTGTGTGTGTGTGTGTGTGTGTGTGTGTGTGTGTGTGTGTGTCCCTGTGTGTGTGTGTGTTCACTCTAAAATCTTCAATCAGTCAGGGGGTGAAATTTTTTCTTGCTTCTGTTCAGACTCGTGTCCCTCGGTTCATCTGCTCACGCAAACTCCGACAAAAAACAGTTTAATTGATACTCATCTGCAAAATACTTACAATTTTTTGATCCGATCTTTCCGCTGACTCCTCCTCCTCCTCCTCTCCTGTCCTCCCGCTTCACCGAACACCTCCCAGAACCTCGTTTTGCTGGACGCAGGACGTCGGCCAGACCAGTAAACCGTGCAGTAAATCTGACGCACTCCTCGCCGCTTGCCGTCGGGCAGCATGAAGCGAACCCAGCACCGTCAGTGGGCAGCTGGAGGAAGTGTGCGTTTGACAGTGTAGCATTAAGGTTTTGTCTTTACGAGCAAAATGCCGTCGCGTGAAACTCTATCGTTGGTTGTTTGGCCTTGTCTTGTCAGTTGAGAGGTACGGTCGTGTTTTTCCTTCTCTGACCACATCGACTTGTGTTCTGCGGCTACTGACATCAGATAAACTCCGCTGTGTATAAAATGGTTTTATATAACGAGCGTTTGACAGAGAATTACTGTCTGGATCACTTGACTTATTGCCTGAGGATAGAATTACAAGATTCCATTTACGAGTTCAAGGCTGTGTACAGTGAGCTTCGTCCTTTATGGATTAAAAATACTGGCGTTTCTTTTTCTTACTCTGCTATATTTTTATATGAATTGTTCACCAACAAACACAGCTACACGTTTAATTAATTCAATTATTTGAATGTTTACAGGTGGAGCGTGTAAATCTCTAGATACCACTTGAAGCTTTTATTTACTTCAACTTGAGAAAGAGCAGCACCTTTTATTTGGCGAAGACTCTGTTTGTGGTGCTAATTTGCTCCTAATGTTGTTAATTCCACATTTAAAGCCTTCCAGCAGTTCATGACTTGGCACAGCTGGAGGAAGTGTTGAAGCTCATTAAGAGAGGCTTAAACATCAATGACTCCAAAAATATCTATTGTATGTAATTGATGCAGTTTAAATTCAGTTTGAGTACAGTGTGATGGCATTGTGCTGATTGAAATAATGTGTTTTATGTGGTTATACTGTATATTGTGACTCGTTATAGTGTCGGTATAGTGTTCTTCTCTCTTCATTTGTTTCTTGGTCTTATTTTCAGAGTTTATGCCATTAATTTAATGAATATCCCAAAACATTATCTGGGATTTTCATGTGCATCTAATTGAAATTTATGCTTTAATGGCTACATCACAGGTGGCATTGTCTTCGGCCTTGGTTTTTGTAAAACTGAATATCCTCCCTCCTCCGTCTAGTAAAAAACTAACGTACACACCACCTCGTTTTTAGAAGAAAATCCATCCACACCTAACCGCATTAGTGCGTTGTTAAGCACATTCATATTCTACGTGAGGATGTTAGAACTCCGACGACAGGAGCGACAACCAGGACATACGGAAATTGTCACGCCATTCCTCCGGGAGCACGTCTCAAAGTTCTCCCACCAGCTGGCAGCGCGTCTCGGTCTGACCCAAAACCGGCAGCGATGTCTTTGACGGAGAACATGCCTCGGACGTGGAATGGCAAGGTGGTGGAAAATAACCGTCCTCAGCGTCGTCCTTCGCCTGTGTTCTTGTTTGTGGAGCAGTATCTGGGCCTGGACAAGAGACAACGTTAACACAGTTCTGAGGGCATCCACACTGCTTCCAAATGTAAACACAGGCCACATATGAATGTAAAGAACATATTCAGGCACAAGCAGTTTCGAAACCTAAAACCCCGGTTATTGACATCCACATACAGATGCATAAACTGAGGATTCGCAGATCTTTACTTTGGTCGGAGGTTTTTGAAAGGATCGTTTTTAATGCTGTAAATCTACGTTTTCATGTGGATGACAGACAAAATCGTAGAAAAATATCTTTGTTTTGTGAGATACCCTGCTGTGTGTAGACAAGGCCTTACTGACGCTACCAGGTTGTTAAAGATTTTCTCTAAAAGTTAGTTTCTAAACATGTTTCCATCCACCTAAAGCATCTTCACGCTGTTATATCAAGATATTAGGTCTAAAATATTTGACTCTGTCAGCATCACAGTGATGAAGAAACTCTGTGTAAATCTGAACCTCTTAAAGAATTCTGTGAACGCTGAGCGCACCTAATCTTTGAGGACAGCTGTCAGTCCCAATCAGAGGTAGAAAAGCTGAAAGACCACAACTGACAACTTTGTCTTGACCTGTTGAGCCTCCTCATTCCTCCCTATCTTCTTTTTTTTCTTCCTTTCGCCTCCTGTCTCTGTTTGTTTTCCTCCCTCCAACCCCTGACTTAGCCCTTATTAGTGCATCTGGGCCGAGATGATGCCGAGTGTTTGTGTTGGTTGTCCTTGAGAGTAAGTGATGACACCGATGATAAAAAGGCAGCATGACCCGACACCTGGGCCGCATTAGAAACAAATGACTGTGAACAGCTGCCTCCGTCTTCTGTTTTTATGCGCCAGTAATCCTGAGCTGCATTGTCTGCGCTGCATTATCATCCCTCGCTGCGAGATACTGGACACTGGGCAGCGATAGGTAGGGGAGGGACGTGAGGGAGATGAGGCTTCTGGCTGCTGTTAATGAGCTTCCTCTGAGGTGGACCGGACCTCTCCTTTCTAGCTCATAGTCTGGGAATGCTGTTTCGCTGGGAACGATACTCCTTCATCCATCTGTCAGTCCCACACAGATACTGTTCCTTTTGCCCCACGTTCCTGTACTTACGTCCCCCTTTTTTTTTTCTTGAGCGACAGAAACCACTGACCACACGAGTATAAGAGTTGGCCGATCATCTAAGCGGGAAAGGGCGCTGATTGAAATCACAATCTAAAATATATGTTCTCTTAAATCATAGTCTCTAAATAACAAACAACCTGAAGGCGAAACACTCCTCTGCTTTTTGCCCCAAGGCTTGTAATCCCAAAGCAGCCAAGAGCAGAAATCTACAATCACTTAACAGGTCACTGGTTCAACCCTTTCGTTTTGGCATATGGATCTTTTGCGCTCACATTTACAGCACTTTCAAAAATCCATAGCGAGCGTCCTGAGAAGTCTGTGCAGCGTTAGAATAAGTGTCTCACTTACTGTAAAGCATTTATCTCAGATTCTTATAAAATCTGCAGACCGGTTTTGGCAGACCGACTTATTCCCTGGCCGGAGTTGAAAGTGGCCACAACCTTGGACTCCCTCTTCAATCATAAAACACAAGACAGGAAAGCAGGGGCAAGAAAGACACAGTCCTGCGGTAGCGTGGGTTTGGACGCCGCTCACAAATAACAGGTTTATTATTGTACACGCATAAGTATATCTATCAAAGGAGGGGTTTCATGGTTACGACTGGATAATGAACTCTGTTCTCATCAGAACTCAGACAGAAAATAAGCAACGGGAGTGTGAGAAAATTACTGTTAAAATGTTTATGAGTTAGCGGTTGTTTACTTTTTTTAACATTAAAACCTTTTATGTGCGACATTTCATGCTTTCCACGGATCACTCTGTTTATTCCACAGGTGAACGTCTTTGGTACGAACACAGAAAGAGAACAAGACGTTGGCTGTGGCCTGATTTTTTCTTTTTTTTTTTGTTAGTGAGTAAATCGTATCAAATGTCCACCATGCTGGAATGAGCATCTTATACTGTAGCGGTAAATTAGATTAGCGATGCTGGCTGATGTGTGCGGGGAGACAGCTTTGATGTGATTGTGTCGGGCTCCACATCGCCTAACAGAGTTTTGGCTTTACACGGAGAGCAGTGGAGCTGGAGCATTGAATCCTCCCTGTGGGTGTAGCTGCTTAAAAATAAACATGTATAGATTCCTGTAATACAGTTTTTTGAGGGTTTTTTTTTTTTACAAGCATTTCTAACAAAACTACAAATAGTTGCATAAAAACACAGGCACCTGAGGCACACCACAAGCCACGGACAGATCAAATAATCAGCACTGTGTTTTTGGATTGAAGGAAACTGGAGATGCTCTTAAGGGTGTGCGTGAGTGGACTCGTCTAACTAGTGTGTCATTACGATGCCAGCTCCTGGCCACTGGCTTGGCACAGCGAATCCTTATTGGGAGTCAAATTCAAGTTGACTTACAGCCAGTGCGCTCTTCCCAGCGGGTGATTCCATCCCTCAATATCTTCATCATGGACAGTGCTGTTTTCTCACATCATAACTAACCTTGGGGAATGATGCTCCTTTATCTGTGTGTTGATGTTGCTCAACAACAGGGAGTCTTGGGACTTTTTTTTTGCCCAAATGCCTCCTAGTGAATAACGGTTGGCTGATTGCGAGCATCATAGCATGTCGTGAAACGCTTCGAGCGGCCCTCTGTAAAACCCTGGAATTTTATATTGTAGTTTACCACACACACAGCATCCAAGTAACGCATGAGTTGGCTTAAACATGTTCTACACTGGTGTAAAACCCACCGCTGGTGACCGAGGATGTAATGAAATTAGATAGGTATGGCTTAATTGCGAGTGCGTGCTGTTTCTCTTGTGTGCCGCAGCGATTGCTTCTGCAGCTCAAACCTCGTTCTCTTTACTACCTGGACACTGTTCACAATGTTTTGTAGGAAAACAATTAACTTTTTATGTAGCTCTGTTAATTGCTGTGACCTTTTAGTTGAATATTTTATGATACTTTTCCTACACGCTATAAAGAGCAATTTCGACAAATAAATTGTTTATAAGGGAAACATGAGATCGTTCGGTTGAAGAAACTGTGACGGCAAATTGATGCTCTTTCAATATACTGATGGAGAGTAACTACGTATATTTCATTACAATTTTGAAATTTTACTTAAGTAATGGTAGAAAATGACTACACAGTTGTGTTTCTTCTGCTTAACAATTAGTAATCCTGGTTAGACGTCAACCAGCTGCAGTAAAATGCTGCTCCTGCTGTTTTTGCATTGATGCGTCACTACTGACACCCCAGTTGCATCATTCATGTTTCTGCAGAACACTTTTGTTGTTTTACTTTGGTTTTACTTATAGGTAAGATTTTTAAAAAAGGGAAAATGCCTGTAATGGCTCTGTATGGTCTAAAGTTGATGAAGCCCAGTTTGACTAACTTTTTTCCCCGTAGCTTTCCAAATGTCCACATTGAATGCTTTGCTGGGTGTACTCCAAAGATCAAATCCAACTGACACCAAGTTGCTGTTTAGATAAGATTCTTTAGTTCACAAAAAAAAAAAAAGAAATTTACAGACGGAAAAACATAAAGCAAACGAGGATACAAAAGTATGAGCAGTCAAAAAACTGTTTGGCTCCATGCCATCATTCATTTTCCCAGGATCCCTTGCAAATTTAAGGGACCCTAATATAGTGAACCAAAATATCAAAAACAAATCAATAAACCAAAAGACCACACTAACACAGAATTCAAATATCCAAAAATATGATTAACAACATTTAACCAAATAACAGATAAATTTAGCAAAATAAAAATGTTAATCATAATCTATATCAAAGTTACTCTTGAACAAAAAATCAAAACCAAATAGAAATAATCGTGGTAAAATAAGAACCAAATCCAGAATCAAAGAAATAGATTTAGGCTCCTACAGGCTCCATCTTAAATAGTTAAACAGTGTTAAATTATAGTAATTAATGATTATTTTCATTGTCTGTCAATATATAAAGTCAGAAAATACGGTCTAACACAGATTTGTAAAGTTGAAGGCCTCCGCTTGTGTTGTTTTGTCTCTTCACCAGTTCAAAATCAAATTATACTTGATACACAAAGGTAACAAAAAGAAGTCATCACACTGGAAAAGCAGCAATCAAAATGCTAAAAGCTGCTAATCGTTTCTGATCAAATGACCACGTGACTGATATATCGTCTCTGTCTCCTCCATGCAGCCCTGAAGAGATCCTTTGAGGTGGAGGATGTTGACACTTCATCCCACTCTTCGCCCGGCACCCGGCGGACCACCAGCTCCCCTCATCGTAACGCCATGTCTCCCACCAGCATCTACTACCGTGACCTGGGCACCGCCGCCCCGGCCACCAACAACAACAACCTCAACTACACCCAACCCCGCTCCATCATGGGCGGAGGAGGCTCCAAGACCCCCGAGCCCGTGTCGCGCCGCTCTGAACTCTCCATCGACATCTCCTCCTCCAGCAAGCAGGTAGACAACGCCACCAGCCCCGCATCCACGCGCTTCGTGAGCAACAGCGCCCTGAAACGTCCCGAAGTCCTGGGACACTCCAAGACCCCCGAGATGACCCACAAGAGGGAGGTGACCTTCGCCAAGACGCCGACCGACTCCCCGGTGATACGCCGCAATGAGGGCAACAACAACAACAACGGGTTCAGCAGAGCCCCTGAGCAGAATCACGCTCGCAAGTTCGAGCCGCCCAGTCCCGGGGATGTGCGCAAACCTGAAATCAGCATCACCAGAGCTCCTCCGGAGAACAACGGCCACCACCCGGCAGTGCACCACCCGCACCACCCCAACCCTCACCACAACACCATTGTCACCACCTTCCGCTGCTCTTCGCCCAACCACGCCGGACGCAAATCCCCCAACCCTGACAGTAAGTCTGCTTTAACCATCTATCAGTCCAACACACTTGTTCTAGCTTCCAGTTATGGCCTGAAGCTGCCCAACACGTCTCCTAAACTCTGATTGAAAACAAATCTGAAACAGTGGGACTTTATGAGAAACATAAAGTGGTAATCCTGGGGATTTATTAGGTGATATGTTAGCTTTTATTTCAGTTTCCTGCTTGGGAAACAGAAGTTTTAGAGTCACTTAATATTTCTGTTAAAAGACACCAAACACAAACCTTTGTAATAAAAGTAATAAAAGGCGTTGTGCATTTTGAATAATGTCTACGACTGACAATAATGTCGCAAGGGTTTTAATTTTGATGTGGAAACCAGCGACTTGTTAAGTCTTGGTAACGACCTGATTGGATGCTATCCTAGTTTTTAATTTAAGATCTCCATTTAAAAGTGATGAATGATTTGTATTTTACAACACATCCTGATAAACAAATTGAGAGATTAAAAAAATGTATATGGAAATTAGGACATTGTCAGTCAATTTGATTAAAGAAAAAAACATATCCTTGAGTTATTTAGACAGAGAGACAACAAAATGTCGTTCTAATCTTTGCTAGTTACAAAAAAATGCATGTATTATCTAGTCAGTACTACATTGTTGTGATTGCTATCTATGTGACCTTGGCTTGTCTGCAAAAATGGGTTTACCTTGTTGGTAATTTAAAAAAAAAAGCTGCACAACAAACAAGTGAAACAAGTTTGTACTTTGGTTAAGTACGCTGAAGTTAGCTCTCCTCTGTTTGCAGCATGTCTCCCTGTACTGCAGCTTTGTTGTTGTGGCTGCTCTTGTGGATGGATGTTCTTGGATTTTAGGTTGTTGTTGATGATGAACTATTTTTGCCAAGTGGTGCTTTGGTTCTGCGATTTAGTTCACCAGCTCGTGTAATTGCTTCAGAATCGACTTACCAGTTTGGTGTGGCAATGCCGTCAGCGGAAAAGAGATTAAAGTGAGTGTGAGAAACTGTCTAAAAACTCAAATAAAACCAAATTGCATTTTCTCATGTGACGGGAAAAACAGCAACTTTTCATTTAGCTCTCCTTCTAATCCCGCTGGGTGAAAAACGTTGGCGTCACATTTTCCAGATTACATTTGATTTGGATGCATTTGGATTTTCTCTTGGACTTTACATCTTTGTGCTCTTTTCTCTGCTCACGCTGGCCCGAGTATCGGATCTCTAAACGAGAAAAAAAGCAGCACCAGGAGCAGCCTGTTTGATTAATCTGATGTCTGTCAGTAATGGCTGCGTCCTTGGAGCCCCGTCTGTCGGGAGAAACGGCAGACTGTTTGTCTGTATTTGTGGTAATCCACATCTCTTCTTAATGTCATATTGGAGCCAGGGTGGTTTTTCTGATGTGATGAAAGCACAACCTTTGCAGCACCAGAAGAGTAGTCGGGCAGTTAAATAGTAATTAGTGTTGGAGTTGCAGTAAAGCTATTTGGGGACAAGACGGATAGATGCTAAGTTAGTTCTGTATGATGCAACTTATGACGGGATCCAACAACTTCCAGATTACAGTTTGTATTTATATTTATGTTCACTCAAACTTGTTCTAGTGTCATTTAAGGCCTCAAGGTACTGCAGAGGTCTCAGAATCAGAATCAGAATCAGAACCTTGAGGCCTTAAATGACACTAGAACAAGTTTAAGTCACCCACATTACAGCATTAATTACGGATCTAAAGACAAATCTAAGGGATAAACTTAGAAAAATAAGTCAATTGAATCACTTTCATTCTCTTCAAAACACTTTAAACAATGAAAACTGAAGATACAGCAAATCAATCTAACCTTATAGCAAAGATATTCGATCTCAGAACCACTATGTGCACACTTATGCACTTTAGTTCATCCAAATTTTCTAAATGGAAAGAAAACATTTAATCAAAATAAAGAGGTACAAAATTCTGTTACTCATTCTTACATAGAGCTCAGTTATATTAGTGAATATAGTGAGATAAGCAGCACTATACACTTTTCAATGCTTTTTTTCTTTGATTTCAGTTTTTAAATGTCTGCTTAAAGGTGGAGGATGCGATTCTAATTCAACACACTTTTAATCAAATTCACTTAATATCTCCCTAATAGTCCTCTAGCTGTCTGCTCTGTATTTGTACACAGCCCTGGCTCTGTAAATAAAAAAGTGGCTTGGACCAATCCCAGTAACCCTATTCCAACATGTCCTTTGTACATTTGTGCTGATGCATTTTTTTTTACCTTAATAGGACGGGAACAAAGGTGGAGGGGACGTGAGTTGGAAAAGGGGATAGTCTCACATAGCAGGACTATTTCCACAGAGATAGGCAAGATCTGGCTTGTCTGTGTTTCTTTAAACCAATCACAGTTGTCTTGGTGCAAAGCCCAGGATGCAGTGATGGTGCCCCTGCCAAATATCAACAGGGAATTGTTTGGGTGGAAAATTTGCATGCAGGGAGGCCAGCACTGTAATTAAAATGGCTAATCACTACAAGAACCAAGTAGCCCTGCCTTAATCTAAATCCTCAGCAAAACTTGCCACTTGCGGCATGTACATTGCTCTTTGGAAGTTGTTGTTTCCTGTTTCCTGGAGGAAAGGGGGTTTTAAAAACAGCAACACACAGATAGCGGACGGAAAGGAATAAGCCGGATGAATGCACAGCGTAAAGTCGGTTTATAAGCCACCCAAAGTCTGTATCTCATGCGTTGGACTAGAAAGGAGGCAGTGGGAGGGATAAGGAATCTGGCACATGCTCACGTTCTAAATATGCTAACTGGTCAAATATCAACAATCTCCAGAATCACAGACTTCAGCTTTAAGTGGTCAGGATAAACATTAGGGACAGACATGTACTTATGGTGCATGCACAAACATGTGTTTTTTTCATTTTCCCCTATGTGGAGTAAGCATCTACCAAGCCCTCTCACAACCACCCAACTAGATCTTTGTAAGTCTGGGCTCATTTAGAAGTATAGCTGACTCACATAACAGCATATTAACAATATCTAGACAATGTATATAGGACATTTTTTAGGGTATTGCATGGAAGTAAAGCCTGAAATAATAGATTTTTTGGCTATTAATTTGGCCGACTAGTTTTCAGACAACCATTTGGAAAACTCAACGTATGACCATAAAGCTAAGAGGAGCTGCAGATTCTAGTTATAATTCTGTCTGTTCATCACCATAAGTAAAACTTTTCGTCACCTTGTCCTCGCATCCTCAGTTGATCCAGTGTCATTATAAAGAATGTGGATTATAGCCATACAACCAATCCCGCTACACGTGTTATCTATTTATTCCTGCATTTAGTCACGTATGCAAATAAATGGTTGCTAGCTTGCAACATCACAGAACTACGGAGGAAAACTATGTTGTATTGGAAAACTCTATTAAGTGCTTTGCCAAGTATTTCATAATTACGTCTCGATGAAATAATTTGGGGTGTGTTTTCCTGTTGATTTAGGTCATTCAATGTTCACCCGTCCCGGTTCGCACTATTATACGTTGAAATGTGACGCTTTGTATAATTCGGCAGATGTCCTGTTGTCAGACGTCAAACAATGTGTGCGCCCGTGAGCCTCTGCTGCGGTATGTCGTGTTGGACCTGCAGTGTTTTACTGCACAGGACCGTAAATCTCTGGGCTGTGTCTGCGCTGAAAGTTTTACATGGTTCTCTTCGAGACAACGGGGGGTTGTAGACGCTTATTTGTCCACGGGGAGAGGCCGTAATGGGGGTCTAAATGGACAGTGACTTGCCTGAAGGGTCCAGTGGCTGTGACTGGGCCCACCCTGTTCAGCTCTACCTCATGATCAGGAAATGTCCAACAACAGCAACACTTACTTGTAATAGCACTGCAGAATGTTTGATATTTTGCCCTGTTGTTCCAGTTGTAAATGGTTTTAATCGACACATTTGTGGGGAAATTGTAAGAGAGCTATTCACAACACCACAAGCAAAAAAATGGCTGATCATTGTTTTGTTATTGTTCCATACGAGTGTGTTTTTTAGGAGTTAAATAAGGTGCCTTCCTGCCCATTCAGTTTTTCCAGCGGGGAAATGAAATCACACATCACACCAGTGCACACGGAGCTCGCTGTTCTTCCTTCCGTGTTCTCTCCGTGCGATTGTTTCCCCTGCAGCGTGACCTCACCGCACAGCGCTTCCTCTCTCAGGGGTCATGTGATCCAAGTCGGTCAGCTTCCCAGCCAGCATCCCTCCGTACTTTGATCCGAGCATCACAGAGAACGAGATACGCCAGGATGTTTGTGTAAAAGGTCGGCACGAAAAGAGCCGTGGACACGCATCCACATGGCACCGAACCGCGGTTGTTGGTGGATCGCTGATGTGCAAATACGTCATTTTCGGGGTCGGGGGGAGCGTTGAAGTCAAAAGAAGTCACGCAGTTCAATTGCTTTTTATTTATACAGCACCAAATCATAACATGTGTCATTCTCAGCGTCTCAGGGAACTGTATGCAGTCAGGTCAGTACAGTATTAGAGAGACAGACCCAACAAGTGCCCCTCGAGAGAGAGCAGCAGGGAGGAGAAACTCCTTTTAACAGACGGAACCGGGATCAGGGCGGCACGCAAAGGCACAAATGCACTTTGGGCCATGAAATTAACACATGCTGCAGATTTTCTTGGTTTCATGCGTACCAATCCACATTATTCACACCCTGAGATGCCCTCAGTGTGCTCAGGATAGTAACCATTACAACAGGGGATCTTATGAGAACTTGGAAACTGATAGAGACGTGCATGGACATCACATTTTGGATTATATTGCTAGAGTAGTTAATTTTTTTACATTTATTTTTTATTTTTATTATTTTATTATTGTTATTTGTTTTTTTTATATTTATATATTTTTAAAAAATCTTTTTAATATATATTTTAAATATTTTTTTATTTTCCTTATATTTTTTAGTTTTTATTCTCTTTGCTATTTGATCAGATTAAGTAGCGAAAAAAGGGGAAGAAAAAATGCATA